TGTGCGTGTTGCTGAAATAGAGCGACCTCTTACTTTATTGTCTCGCCCGGCCAAAGTCAATAATTCTAAATAAATTCAGTGGTAGTAAGGCATGATGCTTTTTTATGTTTAGTTCTTGGAGCACATTCCAATATAACTTCTTGGACTCTTACGAATCATTGGAGCAAAAATCTCTCGAATTACAACATCTGTACTGATTTCTAACAACTGGAGAGACCGACTTTCTTGAAACCTTGGCATGTTAATAATATGAAACTTTGAAAATGAGAAGAAAAGTTCAGAAAACTAATCTTTATCTAAGGTTTCACGAGGTTGATCTTTTCCCAATCGATTGTTCTTCTTTACTCTCAATGGGTTTTCTCGGTTTCTAGTGGCTGAAGTTTCGGCAAGTACGCCTTCTTCAGAGCCCGAACGTATTATTCGTTGTAGCTTTATTTATATTCCTCATCCTTTCTGGGAAAAAGGCATTCAATCATTGCCCAGCAAAGGGTTACCATGACGATGACTATACTTTTAGTTGATTTACTTGGATGAATAATAATTGATCAATAGAAGTGCTTCAATGCGAAAGAATATGTGGGAGATTACAATCCTCGATGCGGTAGAAAAGCCTGGAATCCATGGAACTCAAAATTGGTAATATATCGCCGTGCCAGCTCAGAATTACCGCGAACGATTTAGTTAATTTGTAGATGATGGTACTCTCATTTTTCCAAATTTTGTTTATAGACCGAAAGCGTCAAACTGAGAAAGATTCGCTTATCTAGCCTATTCACCAAACTATCACAAGTGGATCGCCACTTTTTTTGGAAAACCATGTAGTATATTCGTGGGATATAATCGACAGTGACCATTCAAATTGGCTTCCCAAAACTTCATGGAATTCGATAGCTTGGACTTTTATCTAAAGAAAGCTGAGCCTATGACATGTTGATGAAAGCGCACCGATTGCACTTTATCGTTTTCTGAATGGTGAAATTGAATTCCTAAAAGGTTATCTGAATAGCTTATAGCATCACAAAGAATTTTTTTCAGAGTTCATGGGGGGCGTTTCCATACGTCGTTCTGACAGCAATGGCCGTATTTGATACCTTGGTGTATCAAATTGTTATCCCCGAAACCAAAGGAAAAGCTCTGCCGGAGAATATGCCAGTAAAGCGCAAGAAAATCATGGAACCGTTGATTTAAAACGATTTTTCTTGGCAGTTAAAGTTCAATTCTTCAATAAATAACATCGAATATCAGCAACTGTGTTCAATTTCAAGTTCATTTCAGGAGGAATATCGGATACAGCGTACACGAGTAACTTTTTTTTGAGGAATATATAAAAAAATGAGGTAAAGAAAATCAAAATAGTCGAGTACTTTGAAATTACAGTGACAGCGAATTCTGAAAGCGTAAAATCAGTAGAGAACAGCTGTCCACACAGCAAGCGTACCATTACTAAGAGTATTTCAAAAAAAAAAAGCTCTGATGAGTGGCTGAGGATGACGGCGTACAATGTTTGTAGAAAAACTCAAGCGAAACGGTAATATTTGACAGTCCTCCGTATTAGAGGGCAGCCTGGTCGAGTGGTTGTGATGGTCGTAGCGGCGTGCGCAAAGCCGAGCTCCATCCTCCGACCTTCTCCGGCAATCAACAACAACGAAATATGGAACGCTGCAGCCAGGCTATCCTCAATATTGCAAGAAGACTCACCCAACCAGTATTCTACGATGTTCAAGAAGAAGGGGAAAAAAAACGAGTTGGATGTGAGAAGTACTGGAATCCGCAGAGTGAAAAAACACATCGTGAAGACAGATCAATAAAGCGTCTAAGGTGTCTCCAGATCAACAGTTACAAATAGCATGTGCTTGTGCTATCACATTTGTTATATTAGTCGGTATACAACAAAAAACTTATCACATTTGGTAGAATTGATTCTGAGAAGCATTTAGATGGTTTTGCAAGCCCAGATAATTGCAGTACAAAGGGTTCTCTTATGTCATCCTGAGACTAATGAAGAAACAATCACTTCGGTGAATAGGAGCTTTTCATAAGAGTGTTAGCAATCATTCAAAGGCTAAATTCTGTAGCTAATGCGCTAAGCGCTTCTTTTTCAAGTGAAAAATCCCTATCATAACGCTGTCGCATTCAAAATAATAATATGTTCTACACTGGCCGCGCTTTACTATCACTTCGCTGGAAGTGCGAAAAGCCAATGAACGTGTGAAGAAAATTTTCTAGTATCAGAGTCTTACGTTTTATCTAAAATTTCTTTCAGAGCGAAGAAAAAATCCCAAATCCCAAATCAAATAACAAAAAATGCACTCCACATGTAAGTGGTGGCAGTGCGATAGAGTGGTCGCCGTATCGGTCCACGGTCGTCACCCTACACCCTAAACGAAAATCAAATATTTCCTTTTTGCTAGAGCATTGTGAAAAGCTTTTTCAAAAAATGGCTAGGCAGCACAATAGCCGAAGATCGGAACTTTCGAATAATTACTAACCCTTTCTGAAATCGTTAGTGACACCTTTCTGAAAAGTTCTTCTCTAGCGAAAAAGTTCGCTTTTTCATTTTCTCCGAATAATATGAAACAGCCGTGCATCTATTAATACATTTGATTCTTTTGCGAAGTTGCCTAGTTGCAATTTTTTTGATGACGCCTATTTTTTCACTATTCTAACTATTACGCTTATGGCTGTCCCACCACTCAGTTCAGCAGTTTAAACGTGGCACCGAGCATTCAATTCTAATTTCCATTGTTTACATGCTATCACTCTTCTTGTTTTGTTGCTTCTCTTATCCAGTGTATGTGCCGTGCTATTCTATAGCCCCTTTCATGTTTTTGGCGCATGTTTTAGATTGGTACAAATGCAATTGTGGTTTGAAGCAGTGATGAAACTGCAGTTAGTTTTGTAATTGCTTCAAATGTCGAAAATGGTGAAATGGTCGATGTTGAGCCATTCCGCAGCATTTCGTATAATCTCAAGAAGAACAGCTTCAATGTTTGCTCAACCCATGACTTCTGAAGAGGTTGATGCAAAAGTATATGCAGTTTATGCACTGTTGAAATGCGTCTCCCTTACGGAACTTGTTTATACACCACTACTCTTTACAATCGTTGGCAGTTCCTGACCAAATGCGCTCTTGATGTTGCAAGTTATCTCCGATTCTATACGACTCTTTTTAGAACAAGAAATGCACTTTGAACTAATATGCAATATGACCACATTTAATTAGGAATCCGCTCTAATACAAAATGGCGCATTTTGAGAATTCACAAACGACAATTACTTTTTCGTTAACCTTGCACAACTCTTGTATGACGAAGGGACTCTCGTTCACTATGACTTAGTAGAGTTGTATAAATTGTAAAAAGAATATCGCGATATTCAGCTTTTTGAGGGCCAATATTACTCATGCTAAGCAGTACTCAAAGTCATCTCAACGCTTGATAAATCAGAGAGCAACCAAATGTTTGTAAAAAATGACGATTCGCAGTGTATGTAAGCCAATACCCACAGCGCCTACGTCGGAAGAGATTGATTAATTCCAAGACATCAGCGGGAAAATTATGGACCAGAATAAACCACCGAGATGATCATGGCAGCTGCGGTGTTATGCCGCTCACTTAGGTGTCATTCGTTGCGAAGATGTTAAGAATAATAAGTTATGTATTGACGAAGTCTAACTTTAGCTTTTTGAATTATTGTTCTTCTGGAAATAAACACTCTATAGGGTAAGCCTTGAGCTCTAATTATAACCAAAGCTTAATTATCATTCTCTTCTTATTGCGGAGCTACCTTGAGATTTTCATGAAACCTTATCATAATGGCTATTGTTTCGGCAGATCCACCTCCATCGAAACCACGATCATTCACGTCGGGTGTCTCCAGCAAATGTACTTCTTCTATATTGGTTTTCGTTTCTGTCGCAATGAGACAAATCGATCAGTGTGGATCACGCACGAATGAAGTAATTTCCTCAGCGTCGTCTTTTATATAGGACTTCAGCGACCCGGTATCCCCTCTTCAGGATACAGAACGGAACTGGGCAATTGTCGATCAGCTTTCATTTTAAGGAGTTCTCAAAAGCAGTCAAAAACTCAGACTTTTAATTCCTCCTCCGTAACAATCCGTCCTATAGAAGTCGAATGAGCATTAGCTGAAATACTATTAAGCAGTACGTGAATTGCGACTTTTATTGACCTTTCATCCTTTTCCGACACTTATCCTGGGGAGCTGTAGAGTTTCCCTGGTCTCTCTAGTCCTGTATAAAAGACGACGCTGAGAACACTGCTTCGTTCGTGCAGTGGTACACATCATTCGATCCTCTCGATGCGACAGCTACGAAGACTAATATCGAAAGAAGAACAATTTGTGTGGATACTCGACCCGAGTTATTGTGAAATTGATGAAGGAGAAACTACCAAATCCTCACCCATAATAATAAAAATTCACAAAAACGTCGTGTTAGCTCGGTTTTAAGAGGGAATATTGATAGTCTAGAACTAGGTTTAATTGAAACCAGAATTCAAAGTTCACCTATCAGAGTATAAGATTCGTTCTCAGAAAGTCTATTCATAAGCCAAGAGATGGATTCTATTACTATGGAAGGAGGTACTTTTTGTAAGCGGCCCCGGTCCATACCTTTATTCACTCAAGCAAAATAAGCCAGCGCTCCAGGAAGCTCCTTAATTCTAACTAGAAGTAGTACATTTCGCCAAAGGCCCTCAAGGTCGTCTTCATTCCTCTGTTCAAATGTGAATGCCTACTGAAATATAAGTGTTATGATATTGTAAAATTACGAATAATTTCACTAACAGTTTCTATTTAACCTCTATGCTATACAAATCATGAATCGAAATGAGACCCCGCGGCTCATAGTGAAGGTTCGCACGATCAATTGTTGATTGAGAAAATATGAAAGGTAGGACGTGACCTCACGACCGAAGATCTGAAAGCGCTTGGCAAGTCGTCTTCAAGACTAACTAAGATAATTGAGTGGTGAACAAAATTTAGACTTTAGGCGGGAGTTAAACCCGCGCTTCACCCATACAGGGTGCGCGTGCTACCACTGCACCACCGAAGACACCGCCTACCCACCACTCACTCATTAAATATCCTTATCATAGCTGTCAATCACAAACCGGAAAGCTATGATACTGAGATGTTGAAGAATGAGTGGTTGGTAAGCGGTGGCCTCGATGGTGTAGTGGTGGCACGTGCAACTGGCAAGGGTGATATGTCGGGTTCAACTCCCGTCTGAGACTGGATTTTTGCTCTCCACTCAATTTTCTTAGGTATTTTTGAAATATCATGACACGAACTTTACAAAAAATTCATCGACTTGTCTCCTCCATCGTAGTGACTCCCTGCCGTTTAGGCATAGGGCCCTATAGATATGTTACACCTAGATTGAAAAGTAGATTCTGGGACACTTTAGTAGTGTGAGATAATTCCCAAGCATATCATGAGGGTATAACAGTTTCTTATGTGGGGTTTTCCCACTGAAGGTCTAGACATTATTTGCCTATATTTTCACTTTGTTACATTCCTCCTCCATGAAAACGATACCATCGAAGTTCGCGTTTTATTGCGTCATTATTGGATAGGGGGCCTTTTACAGCGAGCTGCAATTGATGAAATCAAGAAGTTGAAGAGGAAAGCACAAGAAAAAATCTGCTGTTAGGGTTCTGCGCTGGTTTCATTACGCTTCAGTGCAGGAGATCTTGACCTCGAAGATAAGCCTCGTTCAAAACATCCCATTTCAATCGCTCGATTAAGTTGAAAAAGCACATCGAGCGATCTTCGATTCAAAGTCGAAGAAATGGTACTTAGACCAAATGCGAAATTTGGCGGACCGATGGCAGAAACTCGTGGAAAACGGTATCTTTTTTTTGAGAAATAAATATCGTTATTTTTTTCGGAATTCATACGTAAATTTGCAATTCTTACAAGTGCGCTTCTAACATGAACAATCAGCATCTGCTGTGCGGGTCACAGCACTTTTGACATTCCGTTCGTTTGCTCACCTTCATGGTCATCACACTTGGAATTCTTCAAGTCATAAAATGACAGGTTTATCTTTTTATTTCACCGCCTGATTTCTATTTTTAAGATAGATTACGATGCGAAATATAACCACAAGGAAGCGGAGACATGAGCAGGTCTGATGTTTTTGTGTCAAGGATCAATCGCCAGTTTATCATTTCGGGCGGCGTGCGCTGGCACAACCCATGAAGAACTTCATTTTGCCTTTTTCTCAGCAAAGTTAGACCTGTTCGGGCACTGTCAGCAAGTATCCTTTATGAGATTGACGATCTGTGCGCCGGATATTAATACCTTACCACATGACTATTCACAACCAATGAAATGATTACAATATGGCTGACAGAAAGGCGGAGAGAGAGCTTCGGTGGTGTCGCATCAGCTCGCGCTGTCCCGGAAAGTTACAGGGGCGGTTGGAGTCTATGAAGGAAAGAAATCATGTTACATGTTTTGCTCATATCTAAGCTCTCTTGCGATTATAATTTCAAGTATTTTATTTGAAAACTTCGTCTTCTTTGTGAATGTCATATAATGCTGGGCTGATTATGAGCGAGTGCTGGGCTGATTGTGAGAGAGTGGTGGGAGAGGTGCCAAGCAAGCACTTTGTATAAACTATGTCACTGACCACTCCGCTATCCCCTTGTCTTTGATAGGTGCATCACTTGGTATCAAAGAACAACATCGATGACTGCGTGGCACTGTTTTGTTGGCTTGGCCTTGTACAGTAAATAGTTAGACTCCAGATCCGTTCACTCGTCCATTTTTCAAACTTAATGCACAGAACAAATCTTCGGAGTTATATCACAGTTGTCATGACCATTCATAGCAGGTCATAATTCCTGAGTTTACTCAGTAATGACTCTGGAAATTTCTCTCACTGAAGGATACCTTTACGAAAGAGACCATGCTATATGAAATTGAGTTTAAAAGTTAGCAAGAGACACGTTTACAAGGACTTGCGGGCTAGGAGATGGTTGCAAAACTCGAGTGAAATCAAGAAGTATTTCGGAGCATACGCGAATATTACCTACTGATTCACACAAAACTCAAAACAAGTCTTACCCTTTCCAGATTATTTCTTTTGATATCGTTTTTATGGAGATAATCTTCCTAAATTATGCAAAGTGCAATGGACATTTATTTCTATTTTTGATATTAGGTTATCACTAAATATACCTCCGTTAGTGCTGACTATGTTTGCTTCTCCTTTAATTACATGAATGAATAAAAATGATTGATAAAAGAAAAACATATCAAGATCTTAAGTTGGTTGGTTGCTGTAAAGCTTGTCTTTCATTTTTACTTGGTCGCTCACTCCGGCTAGTCGGCCCGCTTATGGTATATACTGATTCGGTATTTGTACTTGCAGAGAGGATCGAGGACGATTGTGAGGTATCGTTGGCACCACAAACAATATTTTTTTATAATAACACGAAAAAAGGCTTTTGCTGGCGGTTTGTTTAATCATTCATGCGCAGTTTATGCGATGCGTTATGGTGAAGTAGTCATCGACGTAGCCTCTTGGTGGGTGGCAACGCAATGCTAATGCAGTGAATGCTTTCTAGATGTTACTGAAGCTAATATCTTATACAGCATGGCGAATGGATCTACCCGATTGTCCAGGCTGTAAAGATCGAAACACGTGTTTCGGGATGTACAAGAGCCTTTCTAGCTGACCACATGACAAGTTGGCCAAGATAACAATTATGTGATACAGCAAGGTTGAGAATTAGATTATTTCGTCTCCAAAAAACTTTGTGATGAGATAGCTACTTCAGTGAGATTGCGCTCAAATCAGTGATAGTTGTAGATGTAAAAATGGAAGTGCGCTCATCATTTCAAATACTATCCCACTATTAACCTCTGAAGATGCACTGATTAGGACCATGGACTTTAAGGTTAAAAATAGCAAAAATAGATTAATAGCCTTTAATAAGACAACGACATTGAAAGCTCCGATTAAGAAAGTACCATTTTGCTTCCCGTAATAAATCTCAAGCCAGGGTTAAATAGGTGAAGGTGAGCTCCACCAATAGACGACCGCTCTTTTGGAAGTTTGAAGAGGCACTACCATCATCGATGATTTCTTATTTTCATAAATGCATAATTATTTGGAACCAGCAAAATGGCGCACTTGTTCACTTGGGCCATTCTGAATTTCGATTTTTCTCAAACGCTTGGAGAGTTTTGCATGCCGATGTTTTTGAATCTAAGCTAGGATCATGAAAGCCTTTTCCAAATTGTTGCCGTCCGCCTTTGTAGCCTGTGTGTGCACAGAGGAGTACTTTGTCGAATCTAGACTATACCATCTAGAGGCTCCTCTATACGCGTACAAACTAGGCTACCTAGTTCACCAAAGTATTCATCACCGCTCGTGAGTAAGCGTTTGTCTCCTGATTTCATTCTCACCACAACACTTGTAAATTTATTTGTTATATTCCGAAAACAATCAATAAACAATAGAATCACTCTGATGATTAATATCTAATGATCTGCTGGGAAAAGACTGGATACGTTCCTCTCAGAAAGAATGTGGCTAGCAATCAAAGAAGTCAGTAAATTACTTTTGAGGTGGTTTTAGTTTTCAAATTTTCTCTCTCGCAGATGCTGCTCCAAAGCGCGAAAAAGATAAAATTCCGATGGAGTGATGTCAGGACTGCGCGGTAATATGATACGATAATCCAGCCCAATTTCTCCACAATGTGGCGGCTCAACTTTGCAATGTGATATCGAGCGTTATGCTGGAGAAGGGCGACACTGAGTCGCTTCGAACACTCTCCTCGCACTCTGCAGTCAAATGCCGGCGTTGTTCCCCGTAGACATCGGCACTGATTGTCTTTTTATTGTCAAAGATTCGTAAGATAGCATGCCCTACATTTCAAAAACCGGGGCCATAATATTCTCAGCATGGACCTTGAGTTTTGGTTGAGCTGACGGCTGCTTGTATGCTGGCATCCTGCTAGAACATTCTCCAATATACAACAGCATTCGAGCGATCACCTATTTTGAAGTAATAGGTTGGTGCAAAATTCGTTGGCAAGTCAAGCGAATGGTATATACCTGGGAAATTAATTTTAATTCTCACGCCTCTGTATGCCAAAAATTAGCAGTTGGAAGCTCTATGTTGCGAAAATGTTATGTGGACTAGGGTGTTGTTATCTCGGCTTAAGATTTTTTATGGTCAAGCGAAGCGTTTTTCTTTTCCAGGTGTATCTAAAGCTCTGGAATCTACATTTATTCTCCTATGGAGCATTTAGCAACGTTTACCGTGGTTTCGTTGAGACCGGCACTAATATAGTCAAAGAGATCGTAATCAAAAAGACATGGTCCGGAACTGAAGGTGGTGTATGTCATGATTTTTCTTGCTGCTATTATTAAAAATTTGTTACTTTGGTTGTATTATTGATATTTAGCAAATATATTATTATAATATTATATTGCTATAATATTATAGTTATTATATTGTTATAATATTATAGTTGAGCGCATGTGATGCAGTAGTTAGAGGTGCTCTGCGTCGCACACAAGATCGGTGGTTCAATCTCTCGCTCATGGCTCACGAGGCATCCATCTCGCCGGGGTCGATAAATCGGTACCAGATTGGTCTCAGACTTGTCTGGGAGGATAAGCAGCACTGACTCGGTTCAGTAGGAGGCCACCGCGAGTCGTTGTAAGACCCAGATATACATTCAATCACCTTAAACGAAGTTAAAAATTGAAGACGATGCTTGGTGTATCCCTTAGAAATCGATCATCGCCGAGAGCTTTATCTTTTGCTATTATAGTTGTACTGATGTTTATGTTTTTTTGGAGTCTGAACAATCGTTTTTTAGCCATCAAGAGCGTTCAACTAATTCGAATTTTTTCAGCTTCTTCACCAACTTCTTATGAAATCCGAATTCTAAAAATGCTGAATCATCTGAATCACAAAAATATTGTCCGATTACTTTATACTTATAGAACACGATATTCCGATACTGTTAGTTCTTCTTTTCGTAATTACTGAAGAAAATTCATATGAATCTCAATGCGAATAATTAA